ATTGACAAAAAAATGAGTTTTAATATTTTAAATCTATTTTTCTTTATAGACATACAGAAAAAATAGTCATATAATTTTAAAATATGAAAAATATATTCTAAAAATGTGATGAATTATAATTTTAATCACAATATATTTTTTATTTTAACATTTAAATTCAATCTGAATCAAAAATAAATAAATAATATAATTTAATATAAAAACATATTTATATTAAAATAATTTACATATTTGGTGGTTTCATTTTAAGTAAATATAACAATCATTAAACTTTTTATAATATAATATAAATAAATAAAAAAACTTATAAATATTGCTAAACAGACCAGACAATCATATAATATAAACAACAATATCTAAAATATAATATATGGTTTGTTGGCACCAAAAATAAAGGTACTGTACATCAGTCAGATAAATAGTAATACTTTCCATTAGATTTAAAAAATGATAAAATTGTTTGGTTTACTCCATATTGTATACAAACCATTTTTAAAAATAGAAAAAACCAGTAAATGTTTTAGATATATATATATTAGTTGAAAGTTTTCCCAAAAGGTAGTCATTCATCACTCAAGGGGTTTAGATTTCACACAAATAATACAATTGATTAAAAAAAGATGACAAAAAAAGAATTAATATTTTATGATATGTTTTATGTTTTTGCAACTCTTTTATAATAATATCAAATCTATTCGTGTTTTTGACACTTTATAAAAATGCATTTATAAATAAATGATAAATAAATAAAACTCATTTATATTACAAGATTCTCTCTCTCTCTCTCTCTCTCTCTCTCTCTCTCTCTCTCTCTCTCTCTCTCTCTCTCTCTCTCTCTCTCTATTGTTAAATATTATAGTTCAATATATTAATAGACTGTCGTCTAGTGATAAGTGACTTATTTTCACTAAAAAATTTCTAAGTGTTAATTGAAATATTTTCAAATTATTAGATTAATAAATTACATCAATAAATAGTTTAAATTATTTTATCATTAATAACATTTGATTAAAACTCTAAATAATTATATAAAATATATAAGTAAATAGTAAAATATAAAAAGTCATCAGTCACTTTTCACTGGACGATAAACATTGTATTTTGTAATTGTATAAATATATTTGAAATGAAATATTGATTAATGTTATGAAATATAACTATTCATTAAATGAATACTAAATCATTTGAGTAAATCAAAGAATAAGACAATAAATGACTTTAAAAGCAATTCAAATGCAATGAATTATTGATTCTTGTATTGCATTCTTGTCTGTCATTTGTTTGGAGCCATAAGTCATACAATATGTCCAATAAATTTGTTCTTTAATATTATTTTCGATGTCAACAAAACACAATAATTTTCTTATTTTTATCTCTATTTCACTTATAAATTGTTTTTATATTTTTATATTATGCCAAATATAATAATATATTACAATAAGAAAACCATACTTAACAAGGATTTCATTGTTTTTAAGGGTAATTTTATTCCTGTATTGCTATTTAACAATACATTTATTATCTAATAAATCTATTATAAATATAAAAAATAAATACCTAAAAACATTAGTTAATCTTTTTATTTTAAACAACATATGATAGAAAATTATAATTTAATATTAAAAACATTTTAAATTTAAATTAGTAAAAAACATGAAATAAACTCAAAGTAATTTTGCTGATTGTTTTTAAAGATAACAGAGATATTTCGATTTCTAATTTATTTTATTTTATATTTCAATAAATTTGTTTTTGTCTCAAAAAAATGCAGAATAAGAGCAAACGAAATATACATTAGTTTTAGAGCAAAGAATGTAAAGATTTGTTTCCAAAGCACTTATTTTAGAAAAGTTTTTATTAAGTATTATATAAATACTAAAACATTTACATTATATAACAGGTAATACAGTAATGGATGGAAATGTCAATAAACTGAGAAAATGATTTGAATGGCAATGTAAAGCCAAACAAATATTTATTCAAATTATTGTATTTTCTATCTATTTTTAAAAACGAAAACTCAATCAAAATTAAATAAAAAACTCGTCGATACATAAAATCGAAATCAAATAAAAAATAAATTAGTAAAAAACAAATTAAATTTATTCAAAATTAAATAGATTTTTATAGTATTACTATTGTATTTTCTACAAAAAAAATAATAGATATTAAAATTGTATAACATATTTATTTATTTTAAAATAAATATTTTTCTAGATGTTATACACTATATTAATAAATAATTCAATTTGTCAAAACTTGGCATCTCATTTAAACTTACTTATAATCAATTTTTATAACAAAAAAAAACTTTTTGTTTGTATCACTATATTTATACTATCATATAATTCAATAAAATGGATACATCAATTTCACACATATATATTCAAATAATATATTCAACTAAAATAAATATACTTAAAATATAATATACTATATTGTATGTTATATTMTATATATATATATATATATATACAAACATCTTTAAATATAGTAAATATTCAATGAGATCAACGACTGAAACGATAAAATTTGTGAACAAAAGAATAAACATTTTTTGCCATCAATTCTATGTCCAAATAACTTATATATAGATAAATATAATTTTTATGCCATTTCACATATAAAGTATATATATATATATATATATGTATTAAATAAAACGTGTCTTTTATTTATCTTTTCCTATATTTTTCAAATCTTAAATTTATTTAGTTTAAAATATGTGAAAAAGAGTCAAAATTATATGAAGCAAACATAAATATGATAAACTCAGTATGTGTTGTGTGTCTCATATAATTTGTTTACCAAACAGTAGGCATAACTAGTATAACAAACAAAATTCTTGTCACTTTTGCATGCGTTTAGTGTAACATAAAATTTTTTTTTTGCACACATTGTTCATAAAAATGTTGTTACATAACCATGAATTTGATGCAATGTATCAAAACACAAGAAAAATATGACAAAAAACTTGAATTTATTTATTTGTGCATAAAATTTATTCCCATTTCATTCATTGAATGAGCACATTGACTAAAAACATATATTACTTCTAATGGTATAAATTTTGGTGATACTGGTAGTGATACTCATGCGATGATGTACTGCAGTGCCGGTGCTAAACGTAGACTTAGTCATATATATACCGGTTTAGTGTATATGTGAATAGCATTTCAATCAGTATTACATATCAATAGCACTGAAAAGAGACTCAAGAAATGCTTAGGGAATACATTGAAAGCCATTTCGCGTGAATGGCTCTCATGTATGTACCGTTTGCCTACACATACACAACAAACAGCACCCAATAATTTATTGAAATGTCATAAGGTATGTAAAATTGTTTTTCAACTTATAAATACAATAATATACAGTACAGTAAAGCATTTGCTATTTATACTGTACTTGTAATAAAATGTAGTTATATATCACTCCTATATGAGTGACACATATCAATGTATTAATAGAAAAAATAATATTTGAAATCAATATATAGTTTTAATGAGTAGTAAGTTTCTAGATATACAATACCTATCAAAGTTATGCATCACTTAATATGTATACATATTCTCTCTCTCTCTTTCTCTCTCTCTCTCTCTCTCTCTCTCTCTCTCTCTCTCTCTCTCTCTCTCTCTCTCTCTTTCTCATACAGAATAAGCATTAAGATTATGAATATAACCACTGATATCAACACTCAATAACCAATTCATGCGATACTCACTTAAAGAAAACAAGAATTTCCTTATAATAATAACCATTAAGAGTGACAACAAAATCATTTGATTGCTAAAAATGACATTCAATTTCCATTAATAAATAATTCAATATCTCGTTTGTCATATAATCTAATCAATTAAATCAATATTTATCAAAGTTAACAAACATATTCATAATTCATTACAATATTCATATTTTTATAGTGCAGTTACTAGTGTTATCAATGATAACTTTTTTTATTTAACCACATTTGTTGATATTTAGAAATATATACATATAAATTTAACTTATATTTATAACTTTCACAACTATAAAAAACTATGAATAAGATTATTTTGTATTGGTTTATATGTTTTAATTTTATCAAGGTTCTTTAGATAAATTTTAATGAAATTTCTTTGCATTTTTACTTTTCAATTACTGTTATAGTGTATACTTAAAAGTTACTTCACTGTTAAACTTTTCATTATAATTTCATTACACAATAACTAAAATTATAATAAATATTTTCATTAAGCATCGATATAAGTAATGATTCAGTATATTATAATAATTAATTAAATATATATTAAATTGATCCTTGAATTTTTGTTTTTTATATTAGCTGTATATTTAAAAGGTAGCATCACAAAATATCTAATTCAAAATATCCAAATTTATAATCTCAAAATTAATTTATTTTAAATAAATATTTATAATTATTTAATAAAAATTATTATAAATAGTAAATAAAATAATACAAATCATTTTAATTTATATTAAATAATTATGGATATTTATATTTAAATTATTTAAGTTGGACAAAATGAGTTGGGTCAAATGTTTTTGGATATTATTATTTTGAAGATATTGAAATTGGATTATAAATTTGGATATTTTGAATTATATATTTTGATTTTGGATATTTTGACCMATATTTAAAAAATAAACGCAAATTCAGTATTTTATTCAAACCATATATGATATATCTATTATTTGAAAATAATAGTAACGAAAAATAATAATGAATGTATAAAAAAATAATTAAATACTACTAAATTATAAACAATATAATATTACTAGTAATTTATTATAACTGTTGACTAAAATTTTTATATCAATGGTCATTTAAATATATGAAATTTTGTTAAAATRTTATAATAAAACATATGTATGTATAAAATTTATAAAATTATATAATTATAATAATTAATTAGTAATTAGTAATTAGTAATAATTATAATTATAAATAAAATTATAAAACAAATTAAAATGTCAAAATAAAATTAATTATAAAATAATTATATTTTGCAAATTTCCATAAGATTACAATTAAATGTCATTTGTTGATAGCTATCAATAAACTTATCGACTGAACACAGGTGTGAATCGCAACCATTGATGACAACAGGTTTTTGCTGAACTAAAGTCAAAAGTTTATATTTTGAAAACTTTTTATCATCTGATTTGTTCTCCTTATTCTTCGAACATTTGTATAAAATGGACGCAAAATTTGCAGAAAACGGACAAATCAGTGATGACTTCCATTTGCGGGAATCATCCAAACATATTGATTCATCATTTTTGGCGTCCATTTTATTTGTTAAGTAATTAAAAAGTCCTAAACCTGAGTATAATCTCTTCATAACTCCTGCGTGAGTGAAATGAAGATATGTCTTAAGTTCTTTTGGTTTCTTTATTGATTGCTTCACTTTATTAAATAGGTCACCGATTAAAGGGCACGTTTGCCTACCATTTATTTTTCGACCTAATTTTAAAATAAAAAATTATTRACAAAAACTGTTTACAATTAAAGACATTGCCATATGTATTGCCATACCGTATGCATCTTCATAATAGTCTTCAATATCATCTAAGTATTCAAGAATTTTGAGTTCTTCATCTCCAAGTAGAGAACACCATCCGGAGTGTTGTTCATGAATTGCAAACTCAAAATAACAACCCCTTACTATTTGTCGCAAYACTTTAGCATCGATAGCATTATCGGCATTAAAGCCAACTCTTTCATTGACTCTTTTAATTARATTTTGCATTAAATCACTATTACGTAACTCTTTGACGAATTTGGGTTTCTCGAGTCGGACGCCCTGTTCCAGCAAAAGACCTTTACATATGTCGTGAAAATATAAAATATCTTTTTGCGATTTCGTTATCCCGACCACTCTTTCTGTTAATTAAAAATTTTTATATTTATTTTTTCTATGATYTCAATTTCAACAATACTTTTATCATTGTCTTCATCAYTATCACTATCGCTTTCATCTGAAGACTGTTGTATTTCATCTTCACTTTGATTGTCATTGATTTCTTGTAAGAAAGCGTCAGCTGTTTCTTCAGTTCTTTCTTTAGTAGTGATACCGACTTCAATGTGAGCTTTGGTTGTATCAAACAGTGAGGGATATAATTGTTTAAATTCTTTGGCTATAATTATAATAAAAAGTTAATAATTTGTAAAATAATAAAATACTTGTATTCAGTATATCATACCTATAGCTCTGGTCTCTCTAATACCTGTATTACTAATCCTGTTATCGTCGGTCTCATTCATCTGTAGTTTCCAATTACGGATTGACTGTAAGTCTTGAGCGCACAGTTGGGTTAACCCCTGTTCTGATGCACTAATTATTTGTTTCTGTAATTTTGTCAACACTTTTGACATTTCAATGATATCTTCGCCGTCAGGATATCGTATGGCGTGTCGTCCGATAAAATAAAACATAATTGGTTTGCATTTCGGAATTGAATACCAACTGTCCTGTGATGACTGACCCAAATGAAAGGCTTCTTTAGCGACACTATATGTGGTTTTTGTGCCGTAAAATCTCAATGGATTGGACAGTGAGTCCGATAAGCACTTGGATTTAGGATTCAGGTCCCGACACGTGGCTTCAGTGGTAATCACAAACAATACAATAAAATAACAAATCTTCAATTGTAATGACATTTTGTTCATTATTTGCCACTATTTTTTAAATAATAAAAATTATTAAATATTTAATTATTGTATAAATCATAATTAATTATATTTTAGTTTTAATGATTATTACAAAAAAGACATATTAATCATATCATATGAAAAACAACAATCAAATGGCATTGAGAGTCACTTTAAAACACTTTTAATTAATATATTATCATTAATTTATCATAAATAAAAAAATWTTATCAAACAATAATTATATTATATATCCATATATGTAATCATTTATTTTTGTGATAATATGATTCATAATTATTAATAGATTATACGGTATATGCAAACAAATGCTATATTATATATGAAATCAATTAAATGATAGCAATTAATGAGTAAATGTTGTAAACTGTATATWACTGTAYATTAAAGTGAATMAAACAGTTATTAAATGATAATTAATTATTAAATTAAATATAATAATAAAAKAAATAAAAGCTAAGYTTCAATTTAATATTTTTTATAATTATATTTTATTTACAGTTATATACAGTATATTAAACAGTAAAACTAAATTATAAATTCATGTAAATTATAAGATACTGTATATGATATAATATATTTTAATATAATGAATATTTAAAAAAATAAATTGAATTTAATTATAACCGTAATATTAATATTTCAAAAAATAAATTTATAAATATTAGGTTAAAAATTCAAATAATTACCTTTTAAGACATGTTTTTATATAAACAATCTTTGAGTTTATAGTGTTTTGTCAACTGATATACATTTGAATAATTTTTTTTTTATAAAAATCATTAAACAATTGATTTAAACATTAAATTTGTGTAAAAGAGTATTAATATTGATTTAATTCAATAACAAAAAAATAGTTGAATACAAACAAACACAATGACGACATAGTATCACATATATAGTCATAATCGGTGACAATAGATGTCAATACATATGTTATAAATTTTATTATATTATAACAAATATAATAGTTTATATAAATTAATTAATATTTTCATTAAAAATATTATTATATAATATATTATAATAATTTAATAAAACATATTTATATTCTATTGTATAAAAATTAATTAATAAATATTTAAAGTAATTAATACATTAAAAATAACTAAGGCGTGGTTCACATATTACGTTCGCACTTGAGGGGAGGGGGGTTAGTCAAAGCGAACTTTTGCGAACAAGGGGGAGGGGAGGGTAGAGACATTAAGAACGTTCGCAATTAGATAATATTTTATTTATTGTGGTGGGGGGGTAGCGGTTAGGGACAAGCGAACGTAATTTTTTAAATGACTACATGCGAACAATTGCGAACATAGGGGAGGGAGGGGGTCTAGATTTCTTAAAAAGTGCGAACGTAATATGTGAACAACGCCTAATTCAAGAAATTATATATAAAAATATTTTTTCCCTAATTTTAACAATCAATTATCCATATAAAGTACAGTACATAATATAAATTATAGGTCTCACAGAAAAAAAGTATTTAATGCCAATATTTAGCAACAATTTAGTCATTTAATAAAAATTCTGTATTTAATTTACATAAAATTGATTTTAGCAAATGTGATATAAATAACGATAAAGATTTTAGTCGCTATCAAATATTAATTCAAGGGTATGTTAGAGATTAACTTTATATTAATCCCATAATATGCTAATCCTGAAGACAAACTATCAAAAAATAAAGGTATATTCATTTGGTTTAATAATTTATATCAAAGTATAATATACAATACAGTTTTATTAATATAAATATTAATTTTATCTGTCCATTGGTTTCTAAGAAAACTTTAGTAAATATTTTGTCATACATTTAATTTATATGATATTAAACTAATCAAAAATATGCCATTTTTAGGGATATAAAGAAAATGCAAATAAATTTTTAAGAAACTGTAGCATTAAGTATATAAATATTACTTAGACTCGAGTTATTAATGTTTAAATGATTTATCAAAAATCAATCTTAAAGTAGACATAAATGTGAGAAATAAAAGTATTTCAAAAGTTTGTTTCAACTCATATGTGTTTCATCTCTTCGTTTTTATTCATACAAAAAGATTTTATATTTAACTTTATTTTTAATAATTAAGAATATAATTAGTTATTTTAGTTGAAAATATAATTATGGGTTTTAGTGATACTATTAGTGAAAACGAGTCAAAGATTATGTTAATCTGCGAGTTATGTAATTATAAGTCAAACCGAAAAAGTAATTTTGATCGACACATGAAATCGATGCACGAAGAGTGCCAACGAGTAGGTTATCCGACTGATCGACCCTTTCCTCAAGGGATACGATCATCACTTTTTTTTGACCATTTTTTATATAATATGATATATACAACTCTACCATATATTATATAATATTAATAGTCTTTATAAAAGAAAACTAATTATTATATTTACAGCCATTTGTTTGTTGCGGACAAGTCTTTATAAACAAGGCGTCACTTAAGAGCCATTCAAAGGCTGTCCATCGGGACGGCTATCGATGCAATGAAGAGTCGTGTAATAAAGTGTTTCCCCGGTATTGTATATATTATATTATAAATAAAATATATTTTGGTTAGAAATTACATATGATATATATATATATATATATAAGAAAAAATTAATTGAATGTATGATTGACTTAATTAGAAAAGCATTACTTAGAAGACACCAAACGGTTCACAACGGTATCAAAGAATTCTCGTGTGGGAACTGTATGTATGAGACGAGTCATAAAAGCAATTTAGAGCGCCATTGCTTTCGTGTCCATAATATGATTATTGGCAGTAATGGTAATACAAAAACAGATAAAAACATTGATATCATTGGATCACCTAATGATAGTCAATACAACAGTCGTATCTCATGCTTGAACCAAGAAAATAGTGAAATAAGTTCATCTCAAGAGTCGATGCCTTCATCTGATCTCTACTGCAATGATATTAGTTTTCAATGCAGTCAAAGCAGCAATTGTTCAGTTGAATCAAGTAGTGATCGTCAAACACATCAATGTCAGAGCCATACTCTCGATAAATCTGTTTTTAGTAAAGATTACATCAAACTAACCGACGATGAGCTCCAGTGTCACAATAAAAAACTGCGGCTCTGTCTTCATCCATACAAATGTCTCATATGTTGGCTTCTCTTTGATTCACAACTCGACTATTTTGAACATCAATTGCTTACCGATCATATGCTTGAAGACAAGGATCAACTGGAAGTGATTCGTGCGGCCGCTGTTTTGACACAATTTAGGAGAGCTAAGAGTCGACCCGTTTCTGGGATCTAAGTGATGGTCGCTTTTTATCATTATATACTTGGTTTACAATTAATTTATTTAAATCTTTTAATTCAAACTAATACTAAACTTAATTATTAATTTATATCATTTATATAGTTGTCATTTTAATTAGATATACATTAATACATGAATAATTGTCAATAATGTTAACAATATTTGTCTGATTTTTAATTGTATAATTAACTTGTATTAAACTAGTTTTTAAATGGATAGTAAAATCATTGACTTTTAAATTAGCTAATCATGCAATTATAGTATATATAAAATTTGATTAATTATTTAAAAACATGATAAACAAAATTTAATGAATGTATTATTTGATTAAATGGTAAAAAACAATATCAATTAATTAGTCATTAAAATCAATTAAATTACATAACAATGCAATGATTTTTCATATAACCGCCGACACGTGCGGACACGTGTTTGTCATGCATTTCATTAAATTTGCGTTTCATTGGTTTTGACTTAAGATCAGTATTTTTGGTCATGAATTGTCTCATAGATTTGTTATTATCTTCAATGTCTTCATTGCTACCATTGTTGGCCAATAAGTTGTTGTTACGGCTGCTGTTAAACTCGTCAATCAATTGTTGACAATTAAGGTCAGAGTCGACCTCCCAGGTGGGCGCCCACTCAACCAAGTATTCAATTTGGTGTCCATTACGACGGCAGTCAACGATGGCTTTCACCACATAATCTTTTGTCTTCATTTTCATCAGATTTGGACACCAATTGGTTTGTTTGTTACTTAACACTCAAACAATGCAAACATTCATTGAAAACAATGTTTAAGTGAAAACTCGTTAGACTTACAGTTCAATGAAAGTCCTCTACAATTGTTTTATAAATTATAATAAAACTTTGTATTTACTATTAATATATWAGCATTTTATTAAATATATATATTTTTTAATTAACTAAAAAAAAATATAATAATTATAAAATTAATTAACTCATTATATTAAATGTATTACACAGTAATATACTGAATGTAGRCAATAATATAATAATTTTAAACACAATTTTATTTGATTATATTTTAATCCTTTTTAATAGTTCAATGAATTTTTGATATATTTATAGCAATTAACTGATAAACACTTTAACGTGAAAAATGTTTTTGACAGACAAGTCAGACATTTGTATAATTTTTGTTTTGAAAAAATATATTTTGTTTCAATTATTTTTTCTAACTTTTGACTTATTAAGAGACAAAAAAAAATCAAATTAATCCTTATATTCATTAGTTTGATGTTTGGAAAAACTGAAGTTTATGTTTAATGTATTAAATTTATCTAATTTCATCCTTACATATAATTATAGATATTATATATATATAAATAGAGAGCTATTTCATAATCTTCTTAATCTTACTTATTATTATTATTATTACAAAAGTCTTAATTTTATAGTAACGATGGCTTGACATTAGTCTTAGAGCACATCTTAAACAATGATATAAAAAAGTGTGTAATATTGAAGAGATGCAAACGTTTTGACAAAATTTTCAATACAAAAGACCCAATATTTTGCCGAAGGAGTACATCAGTGGATATAAAAACACCAAAATAATAGTATAACTGCTTTATCAATGTCTCATTTGACCATAATTTTGAAGACCATCACAATGTCATTGAATTTTTTTCTAAGTGTATTAAAAATACATTTTTAAATTTACTATTGTAACCAATGGTGTATTATATATATATATATATTTTTTTGGCTTTTTTAGCATATGTCTGACATGTCTTATAATTTATGATATCTTAATATTATTCATTGATGTTTATTGTATATGAAATTCATTGATAAACTACATTTTGCAAAATATATTGACATTGCTTATATAAAAAACATATATGCTGTTTGATAGCTGTTATACATGACTATATGCATTCAATATATTTGTAGTGTATATACAGTATATATTATTGTTATAATACATGTATGAATAAAGCGGGTGAACGGAGTCTAAATCAGAGATACAGATCTCTTTAAAAGTGTCAAAATGTCAATTGAATGACAATTTTATATAACAGATAATGTGGTTTCAGATGAAACCTGACTTTAGCTTACAATTGGGTTTACTATAATATGAAAGATATGGTAATCCATCAAACAAACTATCATTTTTGGTTCAATACATTCAAAACAAGTATATAATTTTCAAAATAATTTTATGTTATATATTAGTATAAATATGTTGGTAAATACAAAAAGGTTAAAAAAGTTATAAAAAATATAAATAATTTTTCGATTAACATTATAGCTTATATTATATATTGTATTGTATAATATTAAATAAATATTCATTGAGATTATTAGAGAAATTGTTAAGCAAAAATAATAGTTAAAACAATAGTTCAGTTATAAAATTTTGATGTTTTTAAAAATTTTGATTATATAAATATAAAACATAAATAGAGATTAACTTAAATATAAATTTACTCTATATATTGGTATTGTTAACAATATCTTATTGCTTGATATTTAATATAACAAATACATTGCTATTATAGTAAATKCCATAAAACTTAGTTTGCCTAAGGATTAGCATTAAGATTACAATTCTTTATAAAAAATATTATTTTTAAAACAAAAGAAAGGGTGACTTATATACAGTAAAATAAAACATAAGACAAAAAAGCAAATACTGGCCTCAAACCACAAATTTAAACAAAAGTTTTTATACATATTAAAGAACAACTAAATTGAATGTAAAAATAAATTTTTAAAATAAAATAAACTATTGATATTGATATATATATATATATATATATAAGTATGTTTGATAATATCGTGGCTTTTACACGAAATCATTAAAAAAAATTCAAAAATTCGAAATATTAATAAAATATAATGTTTTATGTGTCATATGACACGTTTTAATATTTTCATCTACTTGTCATAACGCGGTGACATTCTTTTGTTTTTATGCACCAATTTACCTGTAAATCACTATTTTCATTTTGTTATATCTTTGAACTTATGAAATATTTTTAAAATTTTTAAAGTGCAAGAAGTAGCAAGGTAACAGATGTATATTGCACTAAAATCCTTAAAATTATTTAACATCATTATCATTAAAAAATTTCATTAATTACTGTATTTAATGTCTGGAATTTAACAATCCTAGGTTGACTTCTCGACATTGAACGCCTATAATAATTAACAGCAAAGAGTTTGAACAAAATTTTTTTTTATATATAAGTCAGCTAGATCCTTGTCTTTAATATTGGAAAGATCCAACACTCACTACCCAATAACATAATAAATATGACATAAATTATGTTTCCAGATTTAAAGATTATTTATAAATTTTTTTGATATTGTTGTCTTTGAAACCCCATATCTCGCTATCACATGTAGTTAGAATTTCTAAAAAATATATACAAGAAACCTCATATGTATAGTGTCTATATATGAAAAGAGAAAAGTTATTTTTAACATCTTCAGCACTTATAGGTATAAAGTAAATCGGGTGTCCATTTGTTTCAAGGATTGTATAAACAGTATTTACTTGATGCAAACATGTCTAGCATTAAAAGTAATATGCATAATGATATGTATATTCTAGTATGAAATCTTGATTAATTTAGCTATTTCTTGGACAAGCTTCCGCAGATTTTTCTTGATTAGTTTAAAAATTATAGACATTTTATTCTGTAGTTATTTCATTTGGGGAACCCGAAGTTCAACCCTGGTTAAAAAACAAACAACTAGTTTTAAAATTTTGGTATCCTTGCTTAATTATACTCTATATTATTGTCTTTAATTTTATCACTCTACTGATTTTATTGATGATTGCTTTATCTTTTATTTTTATTTTTAGCAATAGCCTTTAATGGTTTGTATTTCATGATTATTAAAATTCATTGATATTTATCGGAGCTTCTAACTTTGGAACCGAATAAAATTTTTGTTTGTTTTTTAATTTTAATGAAATTTTATTTAAAGCTTCATGAAATAATATATTTTTAAAATATATAATAAAAATTTACTATATTTAATGATATCACTATAAAGTCACGATACAGTCAAACATACTTATATATATATCATTAGATTTTTTTTTTGAAGTATAAGTTAAATAATGGTGAAATAATATTTACAAACATTGAGATATTGAGATATCGTTGTAAACACCGCCTTAAAGCATCACATATTTGTCTAAAATTTTCATATGTTTAGCTCATCCACTGGTATTTTGTTACAAAAAAATTCATTCAAAAAACAAAAACACTTTCAAAACACATTCACTTTAAGGACTGTTTTGCTTGAATCTTGTGACACATGTTTTTTATAAAATCGATGCCAAAAAATAGTATAAAAATGCAAATTTTTATCCAGTTTTGTGAAATAAAACTTTTGTCTCAACGTAACTAAAACAAAAAAAAGTATATTTTATGCTTTTTTCCTTTTATTTTATAATATCTATATAAATGTTTTCTATTGAATACATTATTATGTCAAAAGAGTGGAAGAAATTTATTGAAGAGATGTCATCTAAACTGAAAAGACATGAGATATGCCTTCAAACCACATATTTGTATACATTTCATATTATATCACTTTAAAAATATACTATTGTATAAACTTAATTAAATATATATATTGTTTTAACTATAAATAACAATTATTTTTTAGATTTTAGCATAACTTTAGTTTTAAACTCTAAATTTTTTCTAATAATCAACTAATTTATATTTAAATCCTACATAAAATAGGCTAAAATTTGAATTTGAAATATACTAGAAAATTGTTGCAAAAAAGTGTGAATATTATAATTTGTAAATTTTCACTAATTTGACACTTGTGTTATTTATTTTAGAAATTTAAGAAAAAATATATAAATTAAGAATATTTGCTATTTTAATGAAAAATGTTTTTATATGTTATACGAGTTTATCAATAAAGAAAAAATTAGATAAAAACTATTGTAGAAATTGTATAAATTGTATAAATGGGTTGTAACATATTGTAATGATCAACTATAGTGACTAAAATATTTTTAGCATTTTCTAGACATTTAAATTGAATTAGATCTACTTATTAACATTAAAAACAATCGTAACTCTTTTTTAAAGTTTAATTTCAGTTCATATTATATTTAAATAAAAAATATTACAAATACTATAATAAAATATTTAAATTAAATAAATTTATCATATTAATAAATAATTAAATTAACAATTCTAAATCTTAAAAATACTATAAATTGTGAAATTTATTACAAATAGTAATAATTTTTAAGCAAATAACTTTTTGACTTACCGGTAAAAATATTTTCATGTTTATTAAAATTCTAGTATAATTAACAAATAATTATTTATTAATTTGTTAAAAAAGAGCTTATAATGATAAATATTAATTATATAAATGTTAATATCTTAATTTAATTTTTAAATTTATAAGACAATCAATTGTATTGAATTATATTCAATTCAATGTATATTTTTGTTGAAATGTTTGAATTAATCATAAGTTGTTTGGAAACTATGAGAGAGAGAGAGAGAGAGAGAGAGAGAGAGAGAGAGAGAGAGAGAGAGAGAGAGAGAGAGAGAGAGAGAGAGAGAGAGAGAGAGAGAGAGAGAGAGAGAGAGAGAGAGGAGAGTAGTGTGTAATTGAAAAATAGTGAACAAAATTGAGATCATTTTGAATAACGAGTAATGAATTCATTCATTCATTGAGACACTGGTTGTTGTGTTAG